GGTTAGAGCACTTTGCTATGGGGAAACTGGAAAGTTTGTGTCTGCACTTTACAGCAGAGGTCATTTTGGTGCGAGTCTTCCCGTGTAAGTAGGATTAGGAGGATTTGTGCTTTATGTGCTTCCTTAGTGCCCTATGGAAGCTGCAGCTCGGTTGGAGCTGCCCCACACACCTCTGTGTGTTGTGTCTCATTAGATACCCAGAAACCAAAGCTCGTAAATTCACTTGCTGCTCTTGCAATCTCATTGATGTGAATCTCGGTGAAGTGCTTCAGTGATGCAAGGAATAAATAGGAAAGGAGAGGGAGCCGGCCTGTGCCTAAATGTAATCATTGCTATTGAGTTTGGAGAATATTGCAGTTAAGTGTTTTTTTCCCCACCTTTCCCATCCCACGGTTCTTTTCTTTGCTGATTCTTTTGTGGTTGTAAGTTGCGTGCCTTCAATTTATTGCTCATTTAACCATTTCCAATGGTATTGGGATTGACAGGTTGAGTTTTCTGCAATCTCACGAATTCATGGGCTGTAAATTGAATGTTTTATGAACTGTTGAGAAGGTAAAGTTACATCTCCTACCAGTTTTCTAATTATATCAGCACCAAGTACATTATGAGTTTGTTAATGCCAGGTACTCTAGCTGAAAAAAACGTTTACAACCACAGTCTTGACAACTGGAAGCAATTACTGTGCAATGGTTTTCTTTTTGGAACATCAGAGTTCTCTCTCCTCTTTCTTCTGCTTCCCTCTCCATGCCTTCCCTTACCGTCCTTTCCAACTCCTGTATAGTTCTGGTGATCTTCAGAAGCTTGTGCCTTTCATCCCTGTATTGGGAAGAGCTTTATGTGTTTTAGATAATAAATTATTAAATGATAATTTTTTAAATAATAAAATCCCTAACTTAGGGATATTCAAGTCTGTGCCTTGCCAGGTTATTCATGACCTTGGGTCCCCCACACCCTGGGTGAGCTCCTTGCCTGTGCTCACAGAGCAGTGAATTGTGTCCAGAGCTTCTGCTCCGTTATGGTCTGAAGCTTCCGTGATGGCACAGGTGGGCACCCCAACTCCACACCTTCCCTTACCATCCTCTCCAACTCCTGTAATTCTGGTGAGGGATCTTCAGAAGCTCGTGCCTTTCATCCTTGGAGTGGGAAGAGTTTTATTTATTTTGTTAATCTGGAAGTTAAGCGGGTGGGAAGATGCATCCGCAGCCCCACTCTGTTTGTCACATGGCACCAGCTCTTGTTTCCCTTGAGAGAAGCAGAGCAGATGGAAGGCAGAGATGAAATGTAGATCAAAAGTAAACACTGTGATTAAGTTTTTGATAAAAGGATGAAACGCTTATCACATCAAAGCCACTAAAAAACACATTAAATATTTCCGGGACGTTTTGTGTCCACGTAAGCATTAACTGTACTTGCTGCAGGGGTGGTGTAACAGCAGGCAGGGCAGTGCTGGTGGGATGCTTTCATCTCAGCTCCTTTAGCACGTTGGACCACTTGCTGCAGCCTACGTTTGAGCCTGGAGAAACATCAGTGGGAGAGGAGACAGGCTGCCAGCAGGCTGGTGGGCCCTGCTGCCGTGTGGTTAGCAGCCCTTTCTCTGAGCCATGTCCTCTTCAGGTTTCGAGGTTTGGGCACTGGATTTCCAGAGATTTAAGGCACTTGCAGATGTAGATGAGTGCAGGGTTTGTGGGTGGCTTCTGTCCCAAATATTGGTGATTGTTTGGTTCTGTGTTCTGGCTCAGTGAATCAAGTCCATAAGGGTTTTGTAAGATTTGCAGTGAGAAGTGTCTGTTAATTACTTGTTTTCATCACTGAGCTGTCCTGGACAGTGAAAGAAAGATTATAAAGCATTATATTATCATTATTTCTTAATATTTTTTTCAGTCTTAAGAAAGTGTGGAATATATTAATAAGAACGTATAGAAAAAGCACTCTGTAATAGCCAGTAAAAGCTAAGGATAATGAACGGCGAGAAAGAAGAACAGCAGAAAAGAGCAGAGGGCAATAAAAATGCAAACGAAGATTCCCCGTTTCAGTTATTATCGTGACACCACAGCAGTGCATTTCCTTTGCAGCGGGTAGGATTGCTGCCAACAAACCCAACTTCTGTTATCCAAAACAGCCACAGCTGAACAAGTTATGCCTGAGCTGCAGCATTTCCTGACCAGAATCTCCTGGCCAAACACAGCCCCAGCATCAGGGACAGTGACCAGGACGCTTTGTTGCAAAGTGACCCAGCAGGCAACCAGGGTATTTGTGTGCTCATTCTTGCTCAGCACTGCCTGCATGGAGCTGGGGTTACACTGTGCCACTGCAGGTGGCCATTGCCTTTTTGGTAAAATAAATGCAAAATCAGTTCTGCCTATTTTGTTGCCTCTTTGTAGGGTCCAGCCTGCTTTTTTCCATGTTACAGTCTTGCTTTTCTGTAGGCGAAGAAAGAGCTACACATCCTGCCTTCTCCCAGCTGGGGGCACCTGTAGAATGGAGACTCATCCCAGAAGCAGGTTCCATTCCTTTTTTGGGAGGTATTGTTTGGGTTGGTTTGGTTTTTTTTTTTACCTGCTCTTTAAAGCAGTTTGGAGGTGGTTTTCACAGCTCCAGGTGTCAGTCTTGTAGAGCACAGGGTTGGTTTGAATGCTGTAAGTGTGCAACCACCTGGGCCATCCGTCATTTTGCAAGGCAGGGCATGGAGCTCTGCCCTTCACTAAGACCCCTTCCAACAGTGCTCCCTCCAAAGCACCGTTTATCAGACTGGTCCTCCAAGGTACACATGGCGTTTCACTGCCATTGTCACTGCCAGTAGAGCCTGTGTGCTGTTGGCAGAGCATCTCTGCTCCTTCCAAACCCCCCAGTGAGCAAAATGACGTGACATTAAAACCTTCAGGTCTGCAACAAATGCACATTATTGATGGCAGAAGCATTATTCCCTGCAGTGGCAAGTGAGGTGGCAGCCAGGCAACAGCTCAGATCAAAACAGATCTGATGCTGGCCTGCTGGCCTTGCCTGAAAACTGTAGATCAGATCAGGAACTTGATAGTCAAAAGTCAAACTTAATTTCTTGACAGTACCCAAGGAGGATGTCTCAGCACTATGTACAGCTGGTTTTATTCAGTTTGTTTTAAAAACAAACAAACAAACTTTTAAGAAGTATTACCATGTATTTCAGCAAGATTTCTCATGTAATGAGATGTAAAAGTTCAGGCAATATCCTGTTCAGACACGTTTTGATTTGATAATACAAAATGGTGCTGACAGTGAGGGATTGCACAGAATAAATCACTGAGTTCTGTTTTACACCAAAGCCTGCATGTGTCCTGTAAGTTCACAGCTGTTCTAACTTTTGCTTTCCCTCATCTAGACAGCAATATGTCTGTGAGATTTATTTCTTGATCTATATGGACTCGTAATCTTTGTTGGGATTATTGCCATAGAAACAAGATGTACGTAGCGCATGTTAGAAGTAACAAATGGGATTTGGCAGTCTTTGCCATTTACTACACAAAGTCTGAGATGTGTACAAAAAGCAGCAATTGCTTATTCTCAAAGCCTTATTTACTGGCACATCTGCATGTTTATTAAAACTAAACACTTTGACTTCCGTTCTAGCTGGAACGCCATTTAGATATTCTGATCTTTCAACTAAAATCCCTGAGATCTATTTTGCCTTTCAGTCGAGGCAGGAATTGGTTGGGTTTGACTCTTTTGGCTCCTGTTTGCACAGTTGCAAAGCCTGGAGGCAGCCCGTGCTCCCAGCCTGCAGAAGATGCTCCTTGGGAGGATGAAGTCATGAAATTTTGCCCATACAGCCCAGCTTCCCACAGCACTGTGAAGCTCCCAGTATCTCCCAGAGTTTCTCACCCTGCCTGGCTTGCAGCCCCTTCTCCTCAAGGCTCAAGCAAATTGTCAGGCTTCAGAGGCCGTGTGTGTTAAAGACCCTTGTTTGGGATGATGCATTTGCTGACCTGGGAGTGCGTGTGCACTGTCCTTTTCCCAGTCCCTATCCTGTCCCATACCCAGCCTCTAGTTGAGAGCAGAGCTGTTTCTTAGGGGGCATTTTGGAGACAACTGGAGATGCTTTCAAACCCTCAGGGTGAGATCTGTCCTGCTTCACCATCTCAAAAAAAAAAAGCAAACCAAAACCCAGCTTTGCTCAACGGAGGAAACACCTAAAGCTGATTGTAAGCCACAGAACTGAGATACAGCCTAGAATACAAGCTGAGGAACTGAAATATAGCAAGCTTGAAGTGGGCTGCATGCTCAGAGCTTGCCCAGCCGCATTTCCAAAGGTACTGAGGACTCTGCAGCTCTTGTGAAGTCGGTGAGTGCTCAGGATCTTTCTGAAGTATATTTAGTACCTAAGTGTAGATCTAGGGCTGACTAAATTCAGGCTCCAAAAACAGTGTCTGCCTTCTCCCTTTTCCTCATTTCTCTTTCCTTTGCTCTTTAAACTCTTGATCAGGTCGCGCATTCTCTGCGCCCTCCAACTCTTCCCATTTTTCCATCCTCCTCCATTTGACATCTGCTCCTGCTGCTGCCCCTCGCCCACTCTGATGGCTCTCCTGGGGTGGCACCCCTCTTCTCTCCCTCTCTCACCCTAAGTCCTCCCTGCCTCATTCTCAGAAGGGCAGAGGATAGAAGCAGCAGCTCAGCTCTGCTCTCCTTGAGAACCTCCCAAGTCCAAGTCTCAAGTGCCCCATCTCTCTTGTGTGGGGCTGGTGGCAGAAAGAGGAGTTGGCATAGAGCCCTTGACTGGAGTGGGAGCCCAGAGCAGCCACCATCATCATCAAAGATACAAACCAAAATGGCCCATTTTCCTCTGTATTTCCCACCACAGGTGTAATCCACTAATGACAACTCTAGAAGAAGATGCAATGAAGGGATAACGTTAACTTTGCGAACAGGAAACTCTCATTAGTGGCTTCTGATTTTCCAAACAACCAGACTACAGATGTGGCTGTGAATCTGATGGATCTTTGCCTGACGTGAGCTTCTCTGTGTTGCAGGAAGGTATGCCCCAAACGCTGAGTTCTACCAGTATGTTTACCCCATGTAGCTTCAGCCCTCATCTACATACTTCTAAAGAAGATGAACAAGGAGGGCTTATCTTCCAGGATGGAAACCTTACCTCAGCATCTCTGGATGCTCTAATCCAGCATCTCATACCTACCACTGATTACTACCCTGAGGTAAGCAATTCACAGTATAATAAACAGTTTAATTTTGATGAATTGAGATAGAGCTTTATGCAAAAGTGCCGATGTGTTTGATTTTGAATTAAGAGATGTAATTTAAAAGCTGGGTGAATTAATGCACTGCTTTGAATGCTGTTTCACCATTCTGGGTTTGTTTCCTTGAAAAAGTAGATCCCAGAGTTTGATGCTACCTTTAAATAAGAAAACAAAGTGGAGAAAAAAAATCTGTGGTGACGATGAAATAGCGATTTGTCAAGAGAACTTCAAAAGTGCATCCCAGGGAGGGTTAGATGAAGCAAAAAAAAAATCAAGTCTGAATGGGCATTCAGTTGAATTTCAGTAGCTGTTCAAGTTGTCCAGGTGTCACTGCAGATACAAAGCATTTCCTCAGTGACAACAGAAACGCTGCTTCTGATGGCCTCATAACAAACAAAGGGTTATGCTCATGCTCACAGGGACTTTGCAGTCGCTGGACAACAGGACGCAGATCCTGATCCTCACTCAGTCAGTGAACACTCAGTGTTTCTTCACCACTAATGTGAGTATCTGTAGTGGAAGCAGGTTTATGGTCCTGAAAGCCATTGACTTCACCAGATTCTGCACGTACTCAGTGGAATAGAACAGAGTTTCACTGGAAGACTTTCAAGTGCTAATATGTCTCCGTGGAAAGGCTTGTATCTCAAAGCAGCAGAGTAGCATTGACTTCTAGGCAGTTTAGAGGTCTACTAAAGTTATCAATGCAGAGCAGACAGCATGTTTTAAATTACCCACAGCTCAATTTCTGATCAGCTAAAAATAAGCAATAAAGAAGCATGTTAATTATAAGAGAACAGAAAGGCAATAGAATAGGTAATGGGCAGATTAGGCTGTGAGATTTTCATTAAGCAGTGTGTGATATGAAATATTACACCCGCTGCTCAGGAGCATGGCTGGGTCTGGGGGAAAGAAGATAATCCAGGCACCAGGAGGGGATGGGAAGCAGATTTCTGAAGATTCATGCATGTATTTTAATTTCACTGCAGGAATACTTTAAATAGTCCAAGGATTTATCCAACAGGCCTGCTCCCCTCAGCTTTCAGATGGAAGGCTGCATATGGCATAGTTAGACTGGTAGAAATGTGGAGTAGCAGCCGAATAAATTCAGTGTTCCCTTATGGAGGCAGGGTGAGACTCCAGGGCAGAAATGAGATGTGACTGACCCCAGGGTTTCTGAGCTCACAACCCAGTACAGCAAAGGGATGCCTGAGTCTACACACTGAGTATTCACTGCTCTCTGTGCATTCCTGGTGGTGCTGTCTCCAGTACCTGGGCCATCTTTGCTATGGAGGTAGGAGATGCTGCTGCTTCCTGCACTCACTGTAACCAGTTCCATTTTAAGGGCCAGGAATCCTCCTTCCTTTTGGACACTCAGCTCTGTCCTATCAGTTCCAGTGGAAATAAAACCACAGAATGTATGGTTTATAGTAGGTCTTCTTGTTTCTCTCCCACAGAAAGCCTATATCTTTACATTCCTGCTGAGTTCCAGACTCTTCATTGAACCCCACGAGCTTTTGTCCCGAGTTTGTCACAAGTGCATTGAGCAGCAGCGGCTGGACGACCCTGTGCTGGACAAGGTTAGTTCATCATTTTCAACAGGCAGAGTCTGGTGATCCGGTGTGTGGCTTTGCCTTCTTTGGAATCGAATGAGACTTTCTTATAATGATGGCTGTTGCTGAGATCTTGACATTGAGGCATCTTAGTATCCACGTCCAAGAGCAGCGCTCCAGGCACCAGTCACTTCAGATCTTCTTCTGATTTCCCTTTTCCCCATTTCAGTCTTCCCAGGTGACTTTCCTTCTTAACTTCTTTAAGGCTTTGATGAAGCCTGCGGGTTGCAAGGAGGTAGGATGTAAACCTCACACGCTGTCAATTGCAGATGTCAGCACACTGCTGTCTCCCCCATTTTACTTAATGCATCTGCCCTTTCTCTTTCTTACTTCTGGTACAGAACGTAGCAGTTCCCCTTGGCCTTACCTGTTACTGTGAACACCACATAACAGCATGCAGCTTCCCACTAATCCCTCACTGCCAGCACTGACAGATTGTCTGCACAGCAGTGCTGCAGAGCGGCACTGTCTGGCACACCAGGAACGAGTTGAAGCAGTGGTGAGGCTATGACGAGCTAACAGAATGAGCAAATCCAAGCTGTTAGTGTGTCACAGTCCTCCTGTTTTGCCCAGGTGACTGTGCAGACTAGTACTGTGTACGACAGCAGACGTGTATCCTCTGGCAGTCCTCCAGGCGCTGCGGTGCACATGGATGCCACTGGATCCCATTCAGCAGCAGATTCCATCTGGGCTCTCCTCAGTGCATTGATGGAAACCTCTCCAGTACAATACCTGGAACAGGAGCTGCATCTTGAGTGCAGTGGAAGGGAGAAGAATGTGCATTGGTTGCAATTTTCCAAAAAAGAACCTAGAATTCTGGAATGATTTTCAGGATCAGCCTTCCCAGCACTGAAACACAATGACATCAAAATGCTCCTTTACCGATATCTGTGTGCTTGTTTCACCCAGGAAACTGTTGGCATGAGTAACAGGATCTCTGCCTTCACTACATGGTACAACCAGCCAGACAACATGGAAGTCTAGCATGTAGGCTGCACATACAGTGCGAGTTAGAGCTATCTGAGTGAGGTGCAGCATCCAAGACAATTTTTTTTGAGGCGTGATTGATTCTGTTCTGTTATGACACTCTGAGATACAAATTTAGGAGAATGAAAATGTGAGTATTCCAGAGTTTTGCTGCTCATTTCAAGAAATTAGAAGTATTACGAAGAGCTCCCAGTCTGCCTGAAGTGAATCTGCATTTTGGAATCCCTGCAGTAATGTGCAGGTGGTGGGACACAGCTGATTTTATGTCACTGGGAGTGGGCCTGACCTCGAAACTTTGCACACTAGTGACCTCCCATCCCCTGAGCCATGTCCTGTGACTTGCACAACGTCCTCTCCTTCAGTTCAGAATAGCAGTTTGTACAGCTGGAGCAAACATCTCCCCAGATCTTTGCAGTTTCCAATAAAGCTTTCCCTTTAGCAGCCACCTGCTGGTCTTTGAGAGTGAGCTTAATGCTAGCTGACAGCAGTTATATTTAGAGATGTGGTTCATTGAAACCTGTTGTTGGTGGAAAGCTAAAATACTCATTTCAACCACCTTGGTTGAAAAGCAGAGACTCAAGAGTATAATTTTCACTGATTATAGGGTATACTTTAGCTACAGTACGTAGGATGCAGAAGAAGGCTGTTTGTTTTGCTCTGTGTTTTCTGTAAATAAAAGTGCAGTTTCTTGTTTAATGCAGTTTCCTTTTCCCTTCTTCTTGGATAACAGAGGATGAAAGCTTTGGAAGCAGCTGCACTGGCTGTCTGTTGAGATAATATTAAGGCACCAGTTGTGCTGTGCCCCACATTTCCCTCCTTGCCCTGTATCATCCTAACTATTCTTGCTGCTGCATCCTCAGATAAAACACACCAAAAGCAAAGTGGGCACCAGCTGTGTGTTATGTGAGTGTCCTTGTCTTATCACGACCTTAAGCTTGTGTTGGAGAAGAGCAGTGTTATCACCAGTTCAGGTAAAGCTGATGAAATGCTGGTGTGTCCATCAGTTCTTCCTCATGTTTTGTCTGCCACTGGTCACTGAGGTGGTTTTTTTTTCATCCAGACAGAAAAGAAACGAGATTCACCACTTTGTTGGTCAAGAAATGAACTATGATCAGGTTTTTGGTTTTGTTTTTTTTTTTTTACAAGTGGATGAAAGCACAGGAGGGTTGTGATCAAGGAAGAACACAGGGTTCAAATCATCACAAGAGCCTGTTGTTTTTAAAAAAGGTACAAAGGTTGCACCAACAAAATGTCCAGCCAGGCACAAACAGACCAATTGCATGTGCAGAATACTTCAATCTGCATGTAAAACAGATAGCTGTGTATGCATCTACGTGCTGATATTTTTGCATGCCAAAATGTGTCATTTATGCACTACACTATTTGTTTGCATGTGTGCAGATTTTGTAGGTGCAACTGTAAGTGCCTTCTTTGAAAATCTGGCCCCACATTCAGAAAAATGCTGGAACTTCAATGAGTAAACACGTTTCAATCCCTGTGCTTTATTCTGGGTTTCACTTCAGGCACGGATCAGAAAATTTGGACCCAAAATCTTGCAGTTGCTGACGGAGTGGACAGAAACTTTCCCGTATGACTTTCAGGAAGAGCGGATGATCGGCCATCTGAAAGACATGATTCACAGGATAGCCCCGTGTGATGAGGTGAGGATGTCTGACGTGGGGCATTGTGTGAAAGCGTTAACTGCAGTTTCCCACTTGGTTCTTCCTTTTCCTCCTGATGTTTTCCACTTTCTCTGGAAAATCCGTTTTGTTCTCCCCTAATGGTTAAAACCTCTAGTAGCTTTGCTGAAAACCACGTCTCTCTTGTGGCAGTGACATGGGGATACATCACAGTGATCAGCAGAACCCATCTTCTGCACCTTTGTTTCTAAAAGAAAACTATTCCCATCTCAATGATAGAAGATCTGAGACATAGCATGCACCGAAAGTGTGGTTAGAGTTCAAACAGCAAGAGTGGTGTGATCTCCCAAGTTACAATCTATAAGAAGAATGAAGTATCATGACTCGAGAGCAACCACCCTGCACAAGCAATGGCTGAGGGAGCACTTCAGGGTGTTTGAGGTAGTGTGTGAGAGAAGAAGAAGCAGGCAGTCATCAAGTGATGTTGTGGGGCTAAAAAAGTACTATTATTGGCTTGAAGGAACCTGACAAAGGCTTTCTATCTCTAAGAAAATGAGTGGTTGTAAAAGTGGAATCACCACGGGGTGTTTTTGTCCTTTTTGTTACCTTTCGTGTCTTCAGTCTGGTAACTTGTAAAACAATCTTTGCATTTTGCCATCTTTTTCATTAGTGAATCAAACGGGTTTGGTTTACACATTCCTGCCTTTTGTATGAGAGTTCACAGACTCTGTGCTTGAGCTGGTTGATGCTGTAGAGCTGGCACCCAGACAGAGGGCAGGTAGACACAGAATGGCAGACTGGTGCCACTGGGATCCCCATCAGAGTCCATGTGATCTATGGGCCAAGACAGCTTCTGTTGAATCCAGTCTGTTTTGCTGATATTGTGAGATAGTGAGGGAGCGTTCTTACCTTTAAAAAAAAAAGCATATTTATGGACATGTAACTTCTCTGGGAGCATAGAAGTGGCAGAAGACAGCAGTGTGTGGCCCTATGGGCAGAAACTCAGTTTAGATGGTAGGTCCTGTTATTCAAATGAACGAGCTGTGTGTGTGGCAGAGCAGGACATGGGGAACAGAGCATCTGGGAGACCTGCTTGTAAACTCAGGTGGGTGAAACCCATAGGTTAATTGAGAAACATTAAAAGTACCACAAAGTCTGTGAAAATAACAAGGATAAGAGCAAATAGCATATAGAGCTCTAATTACGTCTGGGTTAACCATGGGAACTCAGTTCCATGGGCTGCCCCAAGGCCTGGTTTCAGGACACAGATGTATGCACTTCAGTATGACAAAAAGCACAGCACCCGTAGAGTCAAAAAAAGGAATTAGCAGAGTTGCAGTGTAATGAAAAGGAAGTTGAAGCCTCCTACCCACATGAAACATGAGAGCAATGGAAACAGCTGCTTTTGGGCTGGGCTGGAGGCTCTGGGTGGCTGTAGGCTGGCACGGCTCTGCTGACTGGCTGCAAGGATGGAGGATGGGAAGGGGAAGTTGTGTGGCGCTTCACTGGAGGTGGAGGAAACAAAAAATGCTGCCAGAAGAGGCCATGGTGAACTCAGCTTCATTGATTAGAGCAGTTGAAACTCTCCCTGGCAATGAACTTGTTTCAGCCAGCCACCACAAAAAAGGGCATCAGCATCTGAAGTGAGAGAAACCTGTACAGACCTGCCCAAGTTCTGTATGCTGAAAAGAGGGAAGCAGCCCATAGGGCAGTCAGCAGGGGCTTTATGGGAACAGAGAAAACCCTTTTAAAGGCAACTGCTTCATGTTAAGCTGCTGCTCTGGAAAAGAGCCTTCTTTTCCAGGGTAAGATCAGCCTTCTGCGTACAAAGCAGGCTTGTATTTGCCTAACTTGGACCAACGCTGCACACCTTTGCTCTGGAAGGTGCGTAGCTACACGCTGATGTTCGTGGGTGCTTTGGTGGACCTCTGACTGGACTGGCTTCAGATCACTGTTTTACAAATACTACTAGACCCATAATTACAAGTGATTATGCCTGAGCAAAATCAATAATTAATTTAAGGAACAGCTCATATCCTGCAGATATGAATTTCTTTTCTTTTTTTAAGGAGCAGCACGAAAGAGTGCTCGTGCCCATCAGATGTTTGCAAAAAAGTTGTTCCCATTGTGGACCACAGAAATTAAAGCTTGAAAGATTTGTGAGGTCATCTAGTCCATGTAGGTTAATGCAGGATTTTCCCCTGCAGTGTATGCTTCTGTCCTTTGTAGAGTCCACTTTCCAAAGGCTCTGTGATGTGCTTATAAAGGTGTCCATGCTGAGAAGCATTTCTTGGTAAGTGCTGTGATTTGCATTTAGAGTTAGAAATTTTAATTAAAATTTGAGCTCCTAAGCCACCTGCTGATGCCTGCTATCTTCAGAGAAACTTTCCCAGTTAAGAATGAAACATTTGCTTTTAATATTAAACAGAAGTATGCTTCTTTTGACTGTTAATGTGGCAACGCAGTGAAATAGATGATAAGAGTCCAGCATGCAGCTCCTGTACAATGGGGGGTCACTTTGTGGCAAGGTAATTATCAGCACACTGAAGGTAGTGAACAATATTGTTTTCAATTAGTGAACATAATTTAAAGAAAGCAGGAAATGCTTTTAAAGCGACAACAGCAGGCTTAATTTTTCTCTCCTCCAACCTACAGTAAGGTTTCTAGGTGAGTCTCCTCAAGAACTTTATTCTATGAATTATTTTTATTATCTGTCTCTCATTTCATTCTGCTCTCTGTTTGTGTTTCTCAGTCCTTTGGTTACTGTTGTCTGTCTGTATCTATCTTTTTGTGCCATGTTCCCTATGAAAGTAGATCTTTTGATGACTGTTTGTTGAGAGATCCACTAAACATCAGTGCATTTCAAACTATTCTGCTTTTTAGCTTTTCACCCAACAGTGAAGAATTCAGTGGGCAAAGATTCCTTATCTGGTGTCATTTCTGAAAGAGAACTGGGTTTTCTGCTGAAAGTTCTTTAGCCAAATGCTTTATATGTCACAGACAACTTCTACTTTAGTAAAAGTAATTTCCACATTTACAAAATGTGTTCACAGAATGCTGAAATATTCCCTTATTTAAGTTTCCACTAAAAATAGCATTCTAATCATAGAACTTGATAAGCTGTGCTGAGTTTTGCAAACACACCTGGATGTAAACCGGAGAAGTATTTAGATGGTACTCAGCAGTTTGGGTTCAGGATGGCCTTTGTAAATCAAAAGTCTGATCATCTGCTTGGGTGAGGAATTGCATGAAGACCAGCAGTCTGTTCTCTTTGCAGCTAGTACACATCAGGAACTGAAAGAACAGTTTTTATTTTCTAAAAACCTGTTTTCAGTGATTTTTCACTTGATTTTTCACTCATGCTCCATGATTTTGAGACCTGTGTGGATGTTCTCCCAAGACAAGTCCCTCCTACCTCCTGGGTCATTGCTTCATTTACTCTGTTTTGTCTCTGTTTTGCAAGATAGCCTGACTGTATATTGCTTCTCTGGCCCGTGCTCCAGCCTGGCTCAAAAGAATGTCGTCTTTGGGTGAACTGAAAGGTACCTCAGTGATGTGAAAACTTCTGTTGGAAGAGCTGTACGAATATGGCAAAACATTGCAGCAAATGCTGAAGCGTTTGTAATTTTTTGAGGGTTCCCAGCCTCAGACGTGTGATAGAAACAGGGTTCATGGAAGCATGTTATTCTTCACTACTCCCACAATGCAGGAGGTATGCTATGTATACAAGAATACGGACCTCAGCAGCTAAAACTGAAGACCTGCCTACCACCTAGAAAAGTCTGGAGAAGACACAAGCTGTTTCTGAACCATTCCCAAGTGTGCACTGGGCTGTGACTCAGGTGTGTGTTGGCTTTCATGAGATGTCAAACTCCAGCCAGGTCCCTGATGCGATGATAAGAACTGCATGGAGAGTACCAGGGTGTACATCTGCTGTACAGTACAGATGTAAGAGAAGAGGGCTCTGTGCTGGCTCTGGTTTCACACTGGCCTATTACAAGCAGATGTTACTGACAACGTGATGTTACTGAAATCTGCCCAGATAGAGAGTGAGGAGATATCCCACTTGTGAGCAGCTGGATATCTTTGTGCTGGGATTGGAGCTGGTAGTAGGCCAGCCTGGAAGCTGTTTTCCCAAGCAACTGCTCTGTGAAATTGAGCTGTCGTACCCATGCCTGATGCTTCTTTGGCTGGGAGAGCCCACAAGGTTTGGCTGTCGAGGAACACCTCAGTATGGTGTGAAGTTTTAGCCCAAGGACTTCTCCAATTAATCCTTGTTTTCAGAGCCCATCCACCAGTACTCTCAGTTTTATGATGTCTGCATCTGTCAGTCACGAGGAGTTGAAAGCATTTTTATCTACCCATCCTCCATGGCCAGCAGCTCTGCTCTTTTCCTGCAAAGAGCTGCTCTGTCTCTGAGAGGAACCTGCACAACTGAGTAATGATCATCCTGCTGAGCGTATGGCTGTGCCTGGAATATCTTATGAGCATCTTTCACTGGCAATTAACATTTTGGATATTAAATACTCAAAGCTACTCCAACTGGGTAAAAAGTAACAGTGTGCTTAGCTGCTCTCAGCAAAGAAGGATGGAGAGAAAAGCTGTAAAAGCACTTCATATTCTCAATAAATAAGAGTTGACTAGCAACTGTTAACAGGTAGAGCTCTCAGGCAACGTGTCGCTGACATAAAGGATGAGTACCAAATGCTGCTGTGCTCCAGAAAGCTGCAGTAACTCATGTTGTAGCATTCCATCTCCTCTGCTCCCTGCAGCATGGGTGTTGGCAGCAATAAGTGAGTATTAGTGCCAGCCCAGCCCACCAGTCCTGCTTGCCTCTTCTCTAGACTGCAGTCTGTTTCTGTGGTCTGGAGCACAGTACTGTAATTAAGCCAACTGATTGTTCTGAAATAGGCACGTTGAAAATAAAATGATAACCTGTTGCTGGCTTAGGAATACTTTGCAGAAGGTAAAATGCAGCACAAAAACATACCTTCATCAAGTTCTGTGGGTGGTTTACGTTTCTTTCTCTCCCTGTCTCTCCAGGCCTACTGGAAGAAGATGAATCAGCTTTTGCAGACCCTGAATCAGAAGCTTGCCACCCTCAGCCATGGGCAAGAAGGGATTGTCAAGATCAATGCTGCTGTCTCTGATAAGCTGGTTGCCTTTAAAAGTAAACCTCCATCAATTCAGAGAGAAATCCTGAGCGTCTGCAGTGACCCTTACACTCTGGCTCAGCAGCTGACACATGTGGAGCTGGTACATGGGCATGGTTTCCAACTTTCACAGTCAGAGATATTATTTTAAGCCATCAGCTGCTAAGTATTCCAGACACAACCAAAAAGCGTCTGCGCTGCTGCAGCACATCACACTGCTGTATCAGCACTGCAGTATGAGGCAGGGTCTGAAAGGTTAAGAGATGCATGGGAAGTGAGAAATTACCAGTGTTCCTGTGCATTTTGGGGCATGTCACTTTACCTTTTGAGCTTGCTTTGTCATTAAATATGAGTCTTTGTTCCAGGAAGGTGAATAAGGCTTCTGTAAGGTACTTGCTTTGAGCTATAAAACCTGAAGGTGCCATTGAAGTGGCTGATCGTCAGCCCGTTTGTTAATCAGGAAGAAGTTTTAACTCAAATCCATTCCCACAGATACGTAAAGCATCTGAGCTGCCTTTTTCTTTCTTCCCCTTGTTACTTTGAGTGTGGACATACAAGGGTGTGCAAATATCAGAAAAGCTTCCCACCCCCAAACAAAGTCCCGCTGTTTCCTTCCTTGGACCGCAGTCCACTCTCCATCAGTCTCTGGATGATAAATGCACCAATTGCAGTACCAAAATCTTTGCCAGAGCGTTGTGTTGCACACCTTTCTGCCAGGTTCAGGTCCTCCAAGGATGTTTGCAGAACACAAAATGTTATTGCTGCCATCTGCAGATCTTTTGATATTGTAACGGCTTTCTACTGCCTGTCCTCCTGTGGACAGTGTTCATTCCAGAGAGGAAGGCTGGAAAAATTAACCATAAAATGGACTGTGGTTTGGAGAGAATATTGTGGAGTTAAAGGTAGGGATTCTGAAAGTAGCTCCTATTGTGTTTGTGAAGAAGTGGGATAGCTCGGAAATGCCCTAATTTTGGATCATCTTCTCACCTTGATTAGTTTTCAGAATGTGCAGCTTTGGCTCTCTAGCTGTACGTAGTTTAAGCCAGGAAGTACAAGTCCTTTTGCCCAGAGTTTTTTTCTTGCTTTTCCTTTCCTCTACAATACAAGTGTTCTCCAAGGATTCCCTATATTCAGATTACACTTTTAAAACTGATACACCCAAAGATTTTCATGCCACTTTAATCATTGCTCCCTACCTTCTCTTTCACTTACTGCATCTGGTGCACCAAATGCATTGCACTGAAACTGTCAGATACTTAATTGTTAGCAAGAAGTATTTCTGTATTTAATAACAGTTATTTCTGTTTAAGAGCTCTGTACAGGCACCAGTGGCATGGTGAGAAGACAAGAGGAATACCTCAAGAACAGCCATAACATTTTCACTTACACAAAACTACCACTGATTTTAATGCTACTCGAGTGTCCTATGTCTGGGCTGTACGAATTCCACAGTATTTCTACTGAAATACTTCGTATGACCTACAACCTACTGCAAGTATTTTTCTAATAAGCGTGTTAAAGGGCACGGCAAATAAGAAGGAACATGTTTCCTGTGTCACTGAAAATACTGCCTTTGAGATCTTGTAACCTGGGGATCATTTTAATGACTTAGTTTTCATTCCAAAGCATTTTGGAGACTGTACAGTAATGGTTTCCTTGGATATTGAGGAAACCAGCCCCCATCTGCTGACTCCTGGGCTGTTCTGTTGTGGGCTGTGCCCGTCTCTAGCTCAGTCACTGCTGCTAGATTCTTCCTTTTATAGACAATGTAAATAATCTTCTGTCTTATTCCAATAGAACTGTGCTAATGGGCAAAAGTAGAAGTCAAAGGGACTTAAGGAGCGTATTTGAAAACATAGCTCTGAGGGCATAGTTCATTAAGATAGGCTGAATAGGCTGGATGGCAGCTATTATAATTAATTGTGACTGCTGTAAAACACCAAATCTTACTTCTACATATTTCTCTCGGTACCTTTTAGGTTAATCAATATGATAGATACCAAATCTCAGAGAAATGGCCAAGTTCCCACTGGTGGCGGTGAAGCTGTGTTAGCAGTCAGCACACACTGCTGTAACACCCAAACACACCTGCCCTGACAGTACTTTTCAGAAGCACTGACAGCTGCTTGGCTCCTTCAAGGCTGTCATTGCCAGTGCTGAATAAACCTTCCACAAAACAATGTTTGCTTGTATCAGCAACGTGGGCCCTCTGGGGAACCAAAGGGAGCTCCCATAGAGGCAGAATCATGAGTGACAGCGTATTTTTTTAGTCCACAGTGCTTACTGTGGTCTTTTAGTCCTGATGCAGAGGAATAAACCGCTCTTCTTCCCAAACAGTGGCTGCTGGTCTGACTGAAATTGCCACATTTGTTCAGGATCTGGTGGAGGTGGACTGTCCTTTATCAAGAGAGATCTGGGTGCTTTACTCGCTCTTGTTTTGGGTAATGCCTGGGATGCTCTCCAGAGTGAGCAGTGACTGTAATCTAAGCACACACATCTCTGGTGCCTTCCCCAGTGGCACACAGCCAGCCCCCCAGGGCATCACCTGAGCTTGGCTGGTAGGGAGGCAGGGTCAGAGCACTGCGCAGCTGCCAACGAATTGCCATGGTTACCAGAGCTCAGTATTTCTGCCATTTGAACAACTGGGAAACACAGCCATTGAGAAATGCTGGGCAGCAGTAGGTCTGTGGCAGCTCCAGGCACGCAACTGAGGTCTTGCAGCTCCCGGATGAGGCCTCGAGCATCAGCACCTTTCTGTCTGAGCACTGAAGAGAGCTCTTGCTGTGATTTCTCACTTATAAGATGTACACTTTCTATTTTCTACTGAAATAACTCTAATTGTTCTTATCAGTGTTAACATCTCATGCTAGTTGTCTGTCTACAAGTTCAACAACACCATTCAGAACTTAAAGATAATGGCAGTGTTTTATGAAGAGAAACAACAGGCATTGTGGAGTGCTTTCTCATTTCTTCCTGTCTCTGTGTCTCTCTAATAGGAGAGGTTAAGTCACATCGGACCTGAGGAGTTTGTGCAGGCATTTGTACACAAGGATCCTCTGGATGGCACCAAGGTATGTTCTGTCCACATAAGAAATATTTCCAACGGTAACTGATGTAATCCATAAGAGCAAGCCTGGGACATCACCAGGGCAAGGCAGCTAGCAGGGCTGTATTCTCACAGCAAGGATGGACCTGTTGGTGAAGCTCTAGCTGGTGGGTTCATTGCCATTCCTTCATGGTGAGAATGTGTCCCAGCCAGAGACTGGCCTACACAATGAATTTCTGGCCTTTGGCTCTTCCTCTTCACCTGTTTTGGCCAGGGCACGCAACTTGTAGCTGCATGGAAACTGGAAATGTCTGTTCCTAATGTTAAAGGCATAAGGACTCTGGCCATGATGTAATGGCCACAGTGTGTGCCCAGACACCACAGTACTGAGTCAGTGCGTCATGAATCAACATTCTCTCCTCTCTATATACAATAGCTTTTAACCCGGAGCGCTGCAGGGAACGAAGTGTCTGATCAGGGTTTCCTCCAGAGTTCTTGGAAGCAAGTTGGAGTCTTTCCATGAGTTCCAGTGGGGTTTGAAGCAGCATTTCGATGAGTGCTTCAGTAAGGAAAGAGAATTCCAGCTGGAGAGCAAGAGTTTGGTATTTCATATGCTGACAAGAAAAGAAAGAGGATGGAAAATTCTTACCCAGAACCACAGAAGGGCTCCCACTGAGATCATCTGTCAATGGCAAAATTGCATCATTAGATAGAGGAAGACTTCTTGCTAAAATGTTCTCCAAAAAGCACCAAAATCACTTCTAAAGGTGAAGGGAGGGAGGTATGAACAGACCAAATGTGCAGTCGTGAGCTTTCTCCTTCTTGTACTGGAGTTACAGAGATTCTGCAGTTTGTTTCAGGGAGAGAGGAATGGGCAGAGGTGGTGTCTCAGGTGTTGTGAACATTGATCACATCCTTTAGGAAAGAACCCCTGTGTGACAAAGATGTGTCAGAAACATGAAATATCAGGGCAGCCGGAGCTGAGATTTCAGTAACCCACTGTGAGCATGAGGGACGAGATTGAAAATGAAGTGTCTCAGGAAGTCATCATCTCTGTTACGAAGTAAAATGAAAGAGATCAAGTGGAGGCTCTGAATCTGAGTAAATTTTGGAAGGATAGGAGGGAGGCAGCAGTGAATGAAGTCAAACTACGTAAAGCCACGCAGGGGAAAGGATGTTAAGAGGGAAATGTTCAGTAATAAGCTGAAGCAGGCACAGTGGCTGTAGCTCTGCGTAGAATTTGTCTGGAATTTCAAATGTAGTGGCAGAACAGACGAATACCAAGATATGAAGAGGAATATGAAGAAACATCTGCTATGGTGGATAGGAAGGATTTGAGTGGGAGGTGGAGAGCAAATATCAAAGCAAGGATGCACCACTGCATTGACTTCTAAGTTCAAAGCGTGTCTTCCTTCAGATAGGCTCTACTGAGTACAGAAAAAAAGGCCTTAATGTTTTCACACAAGATATGACACTAAAGAATTAGTGGGCTTCAGGTCAGCAAGCTAGTGAAAGCAGGGGTAGTCTGCAACTTGTCAGCATCCTCTTCCTGGGTTGAGAAAAGGTCCCAGCGATGACTTGGAAGATCCTCCGTGCCCTGGTGTGTTACAGCTGAGAGATTGTGTGGAACCTGGCAGAGCATTGTGCACAGCAGCACGCGCCTCACGTGGAGTGACAGGTACCTACCTGGCCCATGGTGAGCACCACCTTCACCACTGGGCTTTGGCTCTGGTTCACATTGCCTCCAGGTGGAGATCATTTTAAATATCATTCTTGCATGAAGGCTTCCAAAAGTTTCATTTATGAATGTTTATCAAGCACTTTGAGAGCTGCTGATGGAAGATGCTGGGGAGGTGCTAAATGTTGTTGCCATTTATAAAGCTTAACCTTTAAAAGGCAATCTGTTTCGACATTAAATGTGCACGTTTTAACCAAGTTAGATGGCATTAGATGTGGTTCTTATGCCGTGGCATGGAACAGCAGTGGATGGAAATACCATGTTCAGAACAAAACCAAGGTTTTGTGTGTATTTTTTCTGCAGTAGCAGGGGGCAAAAAATACCACAGAGTGCAAGAAAAGTAACTGCTATGAGTGGAGTGGGGCTGTGTTGGGATTTCTTTTAGTTTGACATTCACGTGTTGCTTGCCAACGTTTACTTTTGAGATGCTTTGATTTATTTCTTCATTTATTGTATAGATAGTCCTTCCATAAAATGGCTAGGAACATCAGGCTTCAGATTGGTGGCCTAATACCATCGTACTGTGATTTCTTTTTCTAAATGTGCTTGCATACAGAATCGCAGGGATGTTTCCTTTGAATTACCTTAATTAGAAGAATCTTAATGTAAGGTAACTTGCTGTAACATTAAGACCCAGGTTTTAGGCACCTAACTGGCATAATATGGGTAGTTTCATCGACATCCGTGGATCTGTGTTTATGCATTGCGGTTTTCTTAGCAGAGTGTATTTCTGGCAGCTCTGGGAGATGATCATCAGAACAGTACAAAAATTTGGTATTCTCTGATACCCTCTAGTGGATGCTGCTGAATGTTCACATAAATCATGTGAACCGTGAGGGAGCAGGGTGTCTTAGATGGAGGGTCTCAGAGTTCAGGGCTGGAGAAAGGAGTCGAGTTCTTATGATGCCCACCAATGTCTTCAGGCTGTGTGAACTACCCTGTGTCTCTGCTGAAGTCAGAGTGTCTGGATATCAAGTAATTGAAAGAGTTCAGCCAAGTATCTGCACCTGTATCAGCAGAGGGAATTTATGTGAAGTTTCATGTAAGAAGTAAAAAATGTGTTTCTTTGCAGTGACTCTTACTGGTGAAGTCTCCCTTGTGTGTAAGCAGCCTGTTCCAGTGCAGCCAGCAAGAGAGATCTGGGGCACTCAACAGCCTATTATCCTGAATACTCAGGAGACTAAAGGGAAATATATATTTTTTTCCCATAGAGAAGCAACTAGAACTATTTTTTCTTTTGCTTTTTTCTTGTGCTAAGGCACAGTCTTCTCTGTATGTGAGAGAGATGTGGCCATATGATTACCTTCGTGTAATGGGTATTTTGCAATCAGGCAGCTGACTGAACTGCAGTTACACGTCTTCGTGTGTTTTTTTTTTTCCTCCCCAGCCTTGTTTCAGTGACCAGAAGACCAGTAACCTTGAGGCTTATGTGAAATGGTTCAATAGGCTCTGCTACCTCGTAGCAACAGAAATTTGCATGGTAAGTGGGAAGCACGCAGCTCGTTTTACACATTCTTGCAGTACCAGTTTCAGATGGTACGCTAATAAGCAAACCTGGGGATTTATTTCTTGTGACCTAGCTAAGCATCTGACAGTAAGTTTTAGTAATGCTGCATTCACACGAGCAAGCTGATAAATGACAAACAGATTACAAAACAGAGCTGGCAACACATGGAGGTACACTGCTCTATTGATGTAGTAGGAGCACAGTGTGGAATAATGAACCCTGCAGGGAGAAAAAGAGGAAAAATTGAATTATCCTGTGAGATTTCTGCTGGAAAAGATTCTAGTGGAGCAGTATTTGTTATCTGTCATCCTGAAGCTCTGCTGTGCATGTGAATTCCCATTGCATAGCTCTTTGTCCTGCTGCCCATTACTGGAGCCGTGTTTGTTGTGATTTTAAACTTGGCAGATTTGGGTTTAGTTCAGTTGGCCCCATCAAAATGAAGTGAATGTTTTCTCCTTTGAAGGGAGGAATTGTAGTGGGATATCCTACATAGCTTGTGATTGGAAAGCATTGCCACCTGAAGATCTTCTTTGGGAAGGTGGGGTGATTCCAATCCAGTTAAAATGTGGATTTAGAACACAAGCTATCACTCAGCCTGCTCTGCCCTCCAGTTCTGTGTATGCTCATTACAAACGCTTGTTTTAATTTACAGCCTGCAAAAAAGAAACAGCGAGCACAAGTCATTGAATTCTTCATTGATGTCGCCCGAGAGTGCTTTAACATAGGGAACTTTAATTCACTGATGGCAATCATTTGTGAGTACAGCTCCTAACCAGATGTCTCCACTGGCTGTAGCAAAAGGAAAAGGGGAAGTGTGAGCCTCATCCATGGCTTTTTTTTTTTCCTTCTTCTTCCCTCATAGCTGGAATGAACATGAGTCCTGTTTCCCGGTTAAAGAAGACTTGGTCAAAAGTAAAAACAGCCAAATTTTTCATTCTTGAAGTAAGTACATCAATAAAGACATGCTGCTTGAATTATTTATTTATCTATTTATTTTTGTATGTTTGTGAATTTCCACGTTGTTATCCAGGTATGAGATGTTTATAGACACATTTCACTGGCAGAGGTTTGGATTCTGGCCGAAGTTGCTAAAGGATGGTGAAGAAAGTGTGAAGCTGCTGGTGTGCAGAGGGGTAGCAGAGCACTTGAATGTTACATGCAAAAAGATATTCAAAATCTAAAAGGAAGCGACGAGTGGCTTGGGGAGGATGGGCTGATACACAAGCAACAGTTCTCAAGCTGATGCCAGTGTTGTTTGCTTGTGGTTCATCGGCTTCTATGTGTATTTTTGAACATGTAGGCTTGGCTCTGTTCAAGTTTTGCTACAACTAAGGGCAAAGCTGTCTTCAGAGGACTCAGGCTGCTTTCTAACCAATCTGTTGTCTTTTGTATATCTAGCACCAGATGGACCCCACTGGTAACTTCTATAACTACAGAACGGCACTGCGGGGGGCTGCTCACAGGTCCCTCACTGCACACAGCAATAGGGAGAAGGTAGGTGTGACCACATCTCGTGTACCTGCAAATCAGTGGTGTGCATCTACCGAAAATGTCACTGAAGCTCTGCTGTCCCCTTTTCCATGGGGCACCAGTGCAAGGTTTCACTGCTAAATGCAATGGAAATGTAAATCTGCAGCTGAAAGGGGTTTGAAATGGATCAGAGGGCTTTTGTGAACTTGCTGTCAGGAAGCCAGGGCAGGCAGAGCAGGTAGAATGGATGACTTTGTGGCAAGCATCTCTGTGCCTCTTGAAAGGTCACATTGTTTAGATTGATAAACCAGAGGAAAAGGTATTCCAGAGTAAAATGACTTTTATTTTGGCATGGAGCATCAGCCTGGCAGGCCCAGGTGGAGCTGTGCTTTGTTGCAGCCATGCCAGGCAGCTTTTCTGTGCAGACAGGCCTTTATTGTACGGCCTGTGATTTGAGATACAGAGCAAAGGGCACAGCACTCAGAGGTGATGAGGTGGTTCTCCACTTACATTAGAGAAAGATGATTTACTGCAAGTCATGCAAAAGAGTGTGGTCTGAACCCATTGCAGCAAATTTGGAGTGAAAGTCTGTGCTGTTATGTTTTCATTTCATTTGTTGCCATCCTGCTGAGCAAGAATTGAATCACCACTGTCTGTGGCAGATACATAGCGTTCTGATCAGATTCATGAGATGTTAGTGCAGCATCCTACTGTTTTGTGCCTGCATACTTCTTGTTTATTTTCTTATTTCTCCATTCTGTTCCCTTGTTTTGTTTTGTGAAAGAGAGTTTCTTTTTAACATTGCACATAGTCATAAATGGGTGATCTCTACACAGCATGGCTAAGGTACATACTGCATGAACGAGTATAATACAGAATTAGATGTTCTCTCACTGGAGGAGCGAGAGCAAATGCTGATCTCACATCCCTGTGAATTTGATGTAAATCTGCTGAAGCTAATGGAATCTCACAGCAGTTACAGTGAAATGAGATCAGCAGCTGGTCGCAGGCTGACTCAGCTGCGAAGGGAGTGCTGAGTTGTTCTGAAGAGCACATCTCAAGAAGAGACGATGGCTTTGGATGTTCTTTAGCAGAAGAAACCCTTTTAACTTTTACACAATGCAGCAAGGACCTATCAGTTTGAGATCCTTCTGCAGTTTAATTCTTCTGCAGCCATCATATATATTGAAGTCAGCAGCTCTGTTGTTTAATTTCCTGCAGTTGTTTGCAATCTCTGACATATCTCTAGCCCTAGCTGGTTAAGGGAGAGCAGGGAGATTATTAAATTGAAAGGAATCTATTTTACATAGGAAGAGAAACATATTCTGTTTACCTTGTGAACATAACATTATGTTCAAGAAAAAGCTGAAGCATTTGACTTGGTAGTTGGTCATGCTGGGCATCTTATGGAGACAGCAGATCTTGTAATTCATGGTGTAGGAATTAAGGAATTTTGTTGCCTACTGTAAGCCATATTATTCATTATTTATTTTATTGACTTTGAATAAAATTAAAGACACATGATCATTTTTTTTAATAGAAAATGTTTGCAGCAAAGCTCTCTCATTGAAGAAAATACTTTGCTTCAGATTGATTTGTGCTTATAACAGTTTGAGATCCCAGTCCCCTCTGCCCCTCTTCCCAACAAATGGCCACCACAGAAGCACATGTGAAGATGCAGGCTTCACCCATCTCCCTGGGACACAAGGTGCTCTGCTGGGAGGGCAGAAAGAAACCTGCCCAAGTGCAGGGTGAGAGAACAGGCGACGAAGGAGGGAGGACATTTCATGCAGAATTTGGTGTGCTTGTTAGGAACCGTCTGGTTTTATCTATGCAGTCAGCTGACCTCTGCCACATCCAAAATTAAGTCGTTCCGCTGGGACACCCTGCACAGTGTTAATGGCATTGCTCTGATTGGCTTTGGAACGCTGGGAGGATGTGCAGGGCAGCGCTGTGTGTCGTTGCCATGTGATGCTTTGGAGGAAGAACATGTCTGAGCTCATTAGCTTTCTTCTTTCTGCAGGAGGCAGTTGTCCTTCAGCATGTGGGTGGGTTGGATGGTTTGGGGAGAATCAAAAGGGAGTGAAATTTGAGTTTCTGGCGCTAACCCAGACTTTATGCCAGCAAAGACTCTGGATTGAAGCCAATGCTGAAATGTAACTGTATCCACTTTTGTTGCTTTTACTACAGAAACTCGGAAAACAAAGCATGCAGTGCAGCATATTTTTATTAGGGAAATAAATACTGACCCAAAGACAGAAATCCCTTGGAAATGTGTGGAGAATTTGTATTCTAGGGAATGTCTTTGCTTCCTTTTGGATGCAGATGAGAACAAGCTCTGCCCACGCTCCGAGCTGGCTGGTGGCTTTGTAGCTGTATTAGCATGGCACATAGCCCACATTCATATACCTTCCTTCCCAGCAAGGCTCTTAGTTTATGTGACCCGGCCCCCAGTAGTGCAGAGCAGGGCAGAACAAGCTTGTATCTGCCTGCAAAAAAATACACAGAACCTGGCAGTAATTGCTAGCTGGGGATCAGGGCCTGGCTCCAGCTCTCCATGAGTATCTTTTGACTTCATGAGATCATTTTCCTTGTTCAGAGACAGCAGTGGTTCTTTGGTTCTCAGCTGCCTTTAAGTTGCTCAATTTGTGTAGGCAACAGCTTTGCTTGTAAAGACCCAGCAGAGAAAGGAAGGGTTGTGTAGCTTTTTTGTTTGTTTGTTCGTTCTTTGCTGTCTGATCTTGTCGTCAGACAGTGATGCTGTGGATGTACAGAAAGTTAATAAACTGAGTTATCAGTATTTTCATAGTCATGGCTGTCTGCTCAGTGACTCTTGCTTTCAGTTCATGCTCCTTTCAGTGTTCTCCTGATGGCTGAGGATGTCCCTTTATCCTGCTGCCCTTTTGCTTGCTTCTCACTCTACTGCTTTTTAAGTTCCCAAAACAGGGAAAAGTAAATACTTATTTTTTCTCTTCTCTCCTGACTGAGTTCTTCTTTCATGCAGAGAAAATACTGAACTGGAAAGATAATAGTTATGCCATTTCTCTTCACAGATTGTGATCCCTTTCTTCAGCCTATTGATCAAAGACATTTATTTTTTGAATGAAGGATGTGCTAATCGCCTTCCAAATGGACACGTCAACTTTGAAGTAAGATCTGAAAAATGTTTTTATCTCATTCTGATAGCACTAAGATTGTGTGCCTGCAATTTCAGTGCAGCCCAACAAAGGCTGAATATGCCAAAAGGGACAATCTCAAGTGACTGCTTGAAGGTTAAACCAATCTCAGAATGTTTTCTGAAAGAAATAATGTATACGTTTTGTACAGACATTGCAAACAGACCGTTCTGACTTGCTTCACGCGGGTTGGCTGCTGGAAATACAATGTCAGCAATATGCGTGATTATATTTATGGCTTGGAGGGGAGGATGACTTTCAGAAAACAAGGGAAAAGGTGCACATGTAGATAAATCAGTGTGAAATGTTTTATAATTCATTGTATCTGTTTTGTAATAACTTTTTTAATAAAAAGACTTGGCAAAGTAAGACATAAATTGGTTGCGGTCAATAGACAAAAATTAGAATACAGAAGCAGAATTACAGTGCAGTCTGCCATGCTGTTGATGTAAGGATTTGATTGTATAATCTGTTGCTCTAAATTTTACACAGAAGAATTTCTATCAGTGAAAGCAGAATACCCTCCCACAGCCTGGCCCTGGGTGGCTACATATCCTGAGTGGTTGCAATTCTGTGCTGGGGAGGGTGGTTTACATTGGTGCAGTTTGTTGCTGGTGGCTGTGTGTAGGCACTCACATTCTTACGTTGTGCTGTGCGCTGCAGTTGCTGTGTTCTTGCATTCTGATGGGGATAGAGATGAAGTGCTTTCGAAAGAGCTGCCCCATGTCAATGAGAAAACAGTTCTTTGGCTCTCAGATTCTTTGTAAATCAGCTCTTCAGCATCTCTTTGGTCAGTTGCATTACATTTGTCCTTCTGCTGGGGCCACTGTGAGATAGTGAGCAATGCATAAGATAGAGCCTAGCATCCCCTCGAGTTATATCAGAACTTTTTTGCCATGTGTATTTACTGTTAGAAGGCCTAAAGAGTTGTGAGGAATTGGAGTCCCCCTACCTTAGGTAACGTGTCTAATTCTGGTCTCTCAAAGTTTATGCCCATAGCTTTGTTCATGGATGCATTTTCACTTAAACACAAACTGAGACTACTTGCAAGGAGGAGTGGAGCACACCCTTTCTTCCTTCTTTCCCCAGCAAACGAGCAGAGAAAATCTACCAATCTAAAAGATCCGAGACTCCTTTCTCCCAGTGTCCTTGTGGTCAGGAACCCTACATCCTGATCTGCTGCTTGGATGTGGTTGTTTAAGTGAGATAGTGGAACTGTATCTGAATGGAATGGGTTTATGTTTACAGAAATTCCTGGAACTGGCTAAGCAAGTAGGAGAATTTATAACATGGAAGCAAGTGGAATGTCCCTTTGAACAAGATGCTAACATAATCCACTACCTGCACACTGCTCCCATTTTTACTGAAGATGGTAAGACTGTACAACCTCTAATCACTGAAAAAATGTCTCTTTATCACTACCAATTAACATCTTGACCCATCTCGGGGGATCTCTCTCACTGACCAGTCCCATTTCCTTCCTAGATTTCCTGTCATGCAGCTTGTTTATTATCCCCAGACTACCAACATGCTTTTGCAGATAAAGCCTTCTACCTCATGAAGCTGCTGTCTGATTACTTTTCTCTACTCCATAGCTTGTCCAAAAGGCACTGCTGTCTAGGAAGCTGTCGTGGTAGCCCTGTTTTTGAAATCAAGAAAAGAGGCCATAGAACCATGTTCTGGGTTGCTCTGAATGTCAGCTGTCCCTTAGCCAAATTCATGCAGTGATTGATGGAGCCAGGACTCATCTCTTCTGCAAACCAACACTGTCGTCTATTCAGTGAACACAGCTTCAGGCTATGGTCATTCAGCTGACCTCCTTCACTGCAGCAGAAAAATATTTACAGAAATGATTTTTTAAGAAGAATATTTTCTAGTGACTAACTTAAGCTGCAGCTATAAAAAAAGCTGTTCTGAAATTGTTTTTCTGGTTTAACTTTTAGTTCTATGTGTCTTCTCTTTTCTTCTTTCAATCTGCTGCCCAGCACAACGGGCTGTGTCATTTCATACTGTTTCATGTTGGTTGCTTCTTGGTGTGTTGTCATGCACAGAAACTGTCTACAGCTATGTTCCCATAGGCCGTACTGGGTTGGGTTTCTTTTTCCTTGATTCTTTAGACAGTTTTCTATACTGATCCAAGTTAATCACACCAGACAGCTTTTCAAAGACTACTACAGAACAGTAAATGCTGCCTCAAAAATCCTACCTAAATACTAAGAGAAACAGCTGCCAAAATGGAATAATGAATGTGATTGAAGTAATATGTATTGAAAGGAGACAGCATGGAGGCATTTGTTCTGTATTTAGGCTCTGAAGGGATATGAAGTGAAAGTCAAGTCACAAGTGGTGTTTAAAAGTGCAGATTTCAGGCTGGTGAACCAACAAAGGGTGACCTCAACCCACTAATTGTTTTCATATTTTCTTTCTCATATCCTCTGCCACATTTGCACTGTTTTTGGTAGATGTCCTTTGTAGAAGCCAGAGCAGGCCTCCCCTGCTGCCCATGGGGATAGTGGTGAGCAGAATCACCCTGAGTAAAAGACAGGAGAATGTATTAGACAGATGCTGCACTGGTATGTGACATACATCTGTAGGCCCATCACAGCATGTAGGAGCAGTGGCCCAACAGTTTAATGTTAAAATGGGCTTGAATTATAGCACAAACTTCAATACTGAGATGGTTCCAGTATTAAAGAATTAAGCATCACCAAACAGTCAAATGACGAAATACATATGCATGCAAGTTATAGCTCACTTAATTTTATTATTTTTTTTTTAAACAGTGAGACATCAGTGCACCACCAGGAAGCTGTACAGCCTGGGTGCATGTTGGTATCATAAAATTCACCCTCATGGCAAAGTTTTGCAGAAAAGGAGACCTGTTTATTTTCTTCTACTGTGTTCCGTCTCTGGTTTCTGTAACTCATTCTTATCTTGAGGCTGTTCTGTATTCATTTAAGATACCATGTCCTGTCAGGTCTTAAAGAGATTGAGGAAGATTAAGTTGTGTTAAATGATGGGAATAGTCTTGAATGTAAAAAGTTTATTTGCCACAATATCAAATCTCTCATTTTTTATGGAGATCATTTAACTGTTTGGTATTATTATAAGCAGGTCATGCCAGCATATATTAACTCTGGGCTCCTCTTCCATCAAAGCTAACCTAACAGATTTCCAAAGATAGAAATGTGAACTAAGCAGCAGCGTCCTGCTGGTTGCCAGCAGTGTGGTGAGCCACAAACTTATAACAAGCTGTCCTTACTTTGTTACAGGATAGGACATACATGAACGCAGACACAAAGGGATTTACTGTTTCTGTTGAAACAACATATTTTTAACTTTTCCAGGTTTATATCTGGCTTCTTATGAAAGTGAAAGTCCGGAAAACCAGACAGAGAAAGACAGATGGAAATCCTTAAGGTAACCTCTCATTTTAACAGCTCGATTCTAAAGTACCTTCAAATGCTGTGTGGATAGGCAGAGCCTGTAAAGTGCTGGCATTGCAAGCGTGACCTCTGATGGAGGTTTTTTCCATTTATGACTAATTGACAGAGCTGGAGCTGCCCTGATAAAAGCTAATCTTAATCTCAAATTATCTACCATTTGAAGGACATTGTTCTCCACTTGTGCATTTCTGCAGTGCTTTAGCCCTGCAGTAGAAGTCTCCGAGTTTAATGGAATCCTCCTACAGTCTGCGTCTCTTATAAGAGATGTAACATGGTTTGGTGTAAATGAGAATCTGAAGACAGTGATGTAAAAATGAAAGGAAACAAAAAAAAACAACACCCTTTATAATTACTACTTATTCATTGTTCTTATGTTTTAAATTTACAGATCCACTATTTTAGGAAAGACTTGAAGATAAAGAGATCACTGCAGTAGGTCAAAGAAAAGAAATCCGCAAACATTTTGCACTACTGATTCCAAAGATGCCTGTTTGGGATTTAGACAAATTCTTTTTTTGGGTTTTTTGTTAGCCTTTTTTTTTTTTTTTTTTTTTTTTTTTCTTTTTTTTTTTTTTGACTGCCTAATGTGATGGATGAACTGGATTCATCCACTGAAATCAACAGAACTGTGCACAAGGACGCTTTTCTAACTCTGAGACAGAGAGGAAGGACAAACAGATTATTTGTGGCTGTGCCCAAACTGCGTCAGGATCACTGTAACTTTTGCCTCTGAAGGAAAATAGAAGAAAATCAGGAGCATGGAGAACCATGGTACTGCAAAGGGAAAAAAATATATATATAGACATAAATATTTCAGAAGCAGGTGCTTCAGACAGCAGCTCTTTAAACCCTCTGAGGATTATAAAATCAAATCAGACACAGCAGCAATCTGGTTAATTGCTGAATGAAGAAAGAACTACTTAATCTAACATTAGCAGTCCCCCAGCCTTGTTGAACAAAGCACTGACTGCTACAGGTATAAGCTTCCAGTGGATGAAAATGACATCAGTCGCTCACAGATACCCATGTATGTCACATACAGATCACATCAGCATGGGAGAGCTGTGCAAATCCCATGCATTTTTACAGAGAACAATCTGAAGTATGACTATTGCTTAGTTACTATTCCTGCCTCTGCTGTTGTTTTTCTTACTGTGAATGTTGGCAGATCTGAGGAGGTTGTATGTGATAGTCCTTAAAGACCCCCTACACCCAACATCTAAAGCTGAACTGAAGAAGATGGACTCAGTTTACCTCTATTTAATGTGTGTAGCCTATTCCATAATTTCGTTCCTGCTGAGGTGCATCCTTTAGAGGGCTTCATCACGCTTAAAGAAAAAGGATACTGCATTATTGTACAGTATTATACAGTACTGTTTATTTTGCAATTTGATACTAAGAGGATAGGAAGGAAGAAATAATTGCTCTATAAGAGGGAGGGTAATTTCTTTAAAAAGACAAAGGGTTTCAGGCTAGAATGAATGCACTCAAGTGCAAAATCTGTCATTCGTTAGCAGATAACCATTTTCTTCCTCTTTAGTTTTTAGGTTCTAAACAGCATCTACCACTTCCTTACAGGTAATAGCAAGCAGGGACTACGTCTTCTTTTTAAATTTGTATAGTGATCATGGTGCTACTTTAACATATATAATATGTGATAATGAACTATGTGGATGTTAGAGTCAAAAGCCAGAAGAGTTTGTGTGTGGAAGGACTGTATGTATGTGGAAGGGCTGTTCCCACTTGCCCCCCAAAAAACCTCAAAAAGCTTAGCTGAAACCTAATGTCCTGTGATACTTTGCTTTATTACTGACTTGATGCTGACCTTCCAGATGTTCCACTCTGTCTACAATAGCAGGACATAAAGCTTTCTTTGAAATCATTAACTGCTTTATTTCAATTTAGAGTGATTCCAAATGGCCATAGGATTTGGAAAACTGAAGCTAATCATAAAAGCTGGCTGTGCTGGCCTGCGCTTTTAGACAGAAAGCTGAAACTGCTCCTGCCTACTGCCAGACCTCACAAAGGTTGTCCATGCCTGAGTGAGGTGTTGAAATACGAGGCGTTGGTGAGGCAGTAGTTGAGGGCAACCCAGGCAGCTGAGCTGACCTCGAAAACAGTGGCCTGAGACATGTTCTGTGTCATATGCTAACGCTTGGTATCTCCGGTGCAGTTCTTAGGTTGGGTTTTGATCTGTGGAAACCTGTGCAATCTGGATCATGGCCACGTGGCATCCACTCTTGCAGCTGGCTGAGCTGTCCAGGACAGCTTCTTCTAGATGTGCATTCACAGGGATGTGATGGAGAGCGCTGATTCTCCTCTTCATTTATCTACCAGCATACAAGTTCAAGCAGGGGGAACATAAAAATGTCATGTCTGTACTCGGGCTCTGTATGGAAGAACTAAGTGTGAGGATGGGATGGCATCCTTCCAGCCAGGGAGCAATGCTTCCGGTGATACTGTTGATATACTGTTTGTTAATTTTTGTCCATGAGCTGAGAGCTATACAGGGAAACATATACACACAGCCATTGCTTCCAGCAGAACCATTTCCAAAATGATGCCATTAAAAAATTGTTTAATTCCAACCAAATCCAGAGCAATAACCATAAACATATCCATCAACAATGGCAATGCTTACATGTGTTTGCTAAATGGGTTTTTGTTGTTGTTGTTGTTTTTTGTAATGTCTGCATTACACATGCACAGCATGACTTCATGGCAGAACGGGTTTTTTAGTTGTCTGAAACCCACTGTGGGTGGATGGGCCCTTCCCTAAAACTGCTTTTTAAAGTGCAAATGATCATTTTCCAATGATCAATAGAGGCCGGTACAGCTGAGATGAAAACACCCAAAGATGAATCGAATTTCCATTTCTTGTGATATTTTACAGCCTCGGGTACCTTCCGTGAATTCAGGCAATTTTGTGAGTTGAAATTTGGACTCATAGCATTTATCACTGCTGCAAACTAAATTACATTCACGGTCCAAAATTTTCAATCCCCAATACTTAAAATGGAAGCATTGAAGTTAGATTTAGGAAGGTATTAAGGGCTTAGTGGGACTTTCAGAAGCACCAGATCGTCCTTAAGCCTTTATATAATCCCACATTTAAAAGGGTTTTTTTTCGAAGGTGCTAAACATCCTCATCTCTTGGTGGATACTAAAGCAATTAATGCTTCACAGAGGTGCATGGCATATTGATGCCAGTACACAGAACAGTGTATGATCTCCAGAAATGCTGCTTGCACCTTGCAAAATAACTGTAAGGCATGTAGTCATTGGACTAACATGAAGACAAGTTACAGTTAGTTATGCCATGGCTTTCCACCACTATTTTTTGGTGAATTTGCCTCCCTGATAACTGCATGAGCTAATGCAGCAGAGAACAGAGCAAAACTAGAGCTGGGACTTTCAGAAGCCCCAGATCATCCTAGGGTGTTAACACAGTAAGCCAGTGAGATGATACAGTCTTTCAGAAGCATTAACTTAGCTTCTGCCTATACAGCAATATTTGAAAAGACCTAAATATATTAAATCATTTCTGCACCTCCTCTTGTGTAATCAGAGTGCAGCACAAGTCCTGTATTTCATTTTTTGAGAGTGCCATTCTGCAACATAGGGCTAGATCCAAAGCTTATCAAAATACGAGTTGTGTGCCTTCAGCTTGTGTTGAAGTCAGCGGAGGAACTTGCTCAGTGCCTTCCAAAAGACAGTTAATCGTTCAGACTCGCTCTCAATTTCACGTCAGCATCAATCACATCACCTCATTAAAGGTGGATAGATAATTAAACATAGATCTCCTGGCCATGACTGAATTTGGAAGGTAGAGAACTCGTGGAGTCTCACCCAGAAGAACCCCATGCAGCAGGGTGCACTTGCACAGTACATCCTTATCCCTCTGCTAGGCAGGTGGCAGTCCTGCTGTACGACTGCTGGGAGCTCCCCACACGGATAGAGGACGTGCAGGTCTGGAATCAAACTGTGATCTCAGCAGTGCTGGGATCAACACAGTGCAGACACGGCTGCTAAGGCACTTCGAATTAGTTCAAGCGTAGAGATGTTTTCTTTAGCTTGGGAGTATGTTATGATGTGGTCAGTATTGATAAGATAATCACCTGCTTACAATTAAGCCAGCCCATTACTGATACCTTGGTCAGTTTGTCATGTTTTATTGCAATAGTTTATGCACCTTTTCTTAAAGCACACGAGCACTGGTTTGCACGATGGTAAATCCAGCTTAAAACACCATTCAGATTACTGAATATATAGTTGGAGTTATCAAAAAGAAAAGATACTGGAGTTATCAGTAGAAAAGATACTGTTTTGCTTACAGTATCTGGCCTAATAATGACAGTGTTTTATAGAGACCTAACTCAAGCTCAGTGATGTGCCAGGGGAAAAACTCCAATTGATTTTGATGGGTTTTGGAGCAGTACTGTAACTGTAGCACTGCTCCAGGTTATTCACAGGAATTAAATTACACTGGCAACTTGAATAGTCCTTGGCCTTTTGTTAGGGCCAGTTCCGACTCTCAGATGGGCAGGTGCACTTAATAGGGTGAAAATCCAGCCTTGGCAAATGTCTTCTCTGACGTTGCTGACGTTTCAGAAGCAAATTCAAGGAATTTGATCCAGAGAATTAATTCACATCTGAGAGCAGAATTTGGCCTTCTGGTTTTGAATCCTTTTTTCTTTTTAAAGCAGTAGAAATCAGCCTTACTGTCTCAGGAGTGTCTTTGATCAGAAATTAAAACCCCTTGGATTGTAAACTGAGTATTTCCATTGTTGCGCCTGCAGAATAGGGTTAGAAAGAGGTGAGGAAGCATGGCAACGCTCCCTGCTCCCTTCTCAAAGGCTCAACTGTGGGCCAAAAACATTCCTTTCTTTTTTGTTAATGTTATCTGTTAAATGAGATTACCTCAGTATTTGGTGCAGGGAATTACTGAATTGTGTCTGGGAAACAGCATCAACATACTTGGTATCCATACAGCAGTGCATACAATGATGGGGTGCAGCAGTGATAGATGGTCCAGTACAAACTGTCGTGCAAATTCCTGTGCAAGCCCTGAGGTTTGTGAAGCTGGGATACAATGCTTTGGAAAGGTAGGACATGATTGGAAATTCACCCGAGGCAAAATGTATTTCATCCTCCATCCAACAGAATAATTACAAGAAAATTCTTGGAACTGAAAGTTCCTTTAGAGGGCTGGAAAACAGTGGAGAATTTGTTGCTTCATTGACAGAGATTTTAAGATCCAAGCAGCTTGATAAAATAAGTACTAAAAAATTGTGAGTAACACCTTGATGGTTGTTAACTTTTGTATTTCACAGCATGGCAGCAGAGTGGAAAAAGATAACTGTGCATGTGCTATTCCTATTAACATCAATGGCAGCTGGGCAAGCCAAGGCAGGAGAGAATACAGTGACATGCAGTGATGCGTGCACCAAGCTGTACCAGAATTATATATACCAGATACCAGATATATTATATATATATATTATATATACCAGATTATAAATACCAGAACTTTAACACTGGGCATGTTGGAAAGGAAGCACGCTGCCTTGGGGAGTCCCTTTCTTTATAATCAACTTTAGCTGCTCTGTAATCCCTGAGCTGAGCAGGGATGGCAACAAACAAGTTCCTTTTTTTTTTCCAGTGGAACAGACCTGGAGGCAGACCTGTTTTGTATTTATTTCTTCTACAGTTCTTTTTGCATATTTTCAGATATGCAAAAAATATCAGCTACATTGTCAGTGCGCACAGAAGGCATCACATTCTGCATTTGTATACTATGCAAGATATATATTAGAAGTTAATAGCTTGTACGGGTGGCATTTCATACCCTCTGCAGAGGTGCAAGACACTGAAACTCAGGCTATAACCTCGGTTACAGAATAAAGCTAGCTATGGATAACTTGTCTAGATCCCTTGCCTTGCACTGTGGCCAAACTCAGACTGTAATGCTGTACATTCGGAGTGGCTTGGACTCCATCTCTCCCCTTGATGCCTTTCCCTCCACAGAATTGGCATTTTGCTCTATAAACAGCTCTTGCAAAATGCCACGGGAGTATTTTTCAGGTTCTCTGCCATACATGGGCTCTGCACTCACATACCAGAGCTGTCACTTTAGGAGTCCCTTCTCCCTTCCCTCATGGCACCAGAAGTACCAGCCCAGACTAAAACTGCAGTGCAGCATTGCTCCCAGGCCTTCCTGAATGCAGAAGACTTCAAGTTCAGGACTCGCTTGTTCTGTAAGTTAAATACCTGTACAGTAAACTTCATTCTGAAATGTGCACAGCCTATTTAATGGACCTGTGACCAGAAAATCCCAGAACCCAGCTACCTTTTAGAGAAGTGCAACTTCCTCAGTGAGCTGTGACTGGTCAGTATTGCATCATTGCTTTCATTATTTAATTAAGCTTCTACAATCCCCATATTTGGGGGACAGCTACGTGTGTGATCGTTTCCTGATGTTTGGCATATGAGTACACAGAATCGAGAAAATGGGGGCTATAATCTAGACAGCTGACACGAGATGTATTTTCATAACAGCCCAAGCTGGGTTACTGCTTATAGTATGTCCTCACCTTGAAGAAGAAGGAATTGTTCCAGTAAAATCCTCCTAACTCTTAAAGCTTTGTGAAAGATACAAGCACACAGCTATTAGACATGTTTCAAGACATGATTCTTACCAACAGGCAAGTACTTCCCTTAGGAGCCAGCCTGTAAAATGAAATAAAACTGCCAGTACGCAACACAGATGAAAAATAAATTGGCTTCTGGGTTCCAGAACTCTTCACTTTTAGCAAGTATTCATCAGTATACGAAGGTGAGAAATCAGAATCACAGAATCACAAATCAGATTTTAGTTTGGGATTTTTTAGCAAGCTCTGTGAAATGTGACAATACCAGCTATCTTAAGCCTGTACACTAAGAGCATATTACTGCAAAACGTTTATTCACAGTCTTAAAAATGAATAAGCAGAACTGTCCTTATGTTCAGACTGAGAAATTAAAAGATGTGTGTCTGGTCACCTGGAAAACACGTGCTTTCAAAAATGTACCCCAAATTGTTTGCAACTTCTATGTTTCATCTATTATTGTAATTCCTTTTTACAACTGTGCTTGGAAAAAAATGGAAATAAATTAGTTTTTAAGGAAGAGTAAGCTAGGATAAAAGGAAATACGGATTAAAAGACTGGTAGGTACTGACTGTGGGAACAGTAGTAATGAGGGGCTGTGTTTTTCCCATAGCTTTTTCTTTAAACTCAGCTATTTCATTTTCAGGCTGAACTGAAATCCCTTTCCCCTCCACAATACTCAAACCGTGTAGATTTGTTGGAAGTCCTCAAAGCAATTACCAACACTTTATCAACTGCGCAGGCAGAAAACAGTAAGGTTACTTGAAAGTGGCTGTTATGATTTTGTGACTGTACATAGATATTGCAAAATGTTAATGGTAAAATGCATACTGTACCCCCATAAACACTGCAAGAATAGCATGGTCATTGTTATGCTTTATAGCTGTTGTGGAAAATGTCTTAACCCGCATTCATGATTATAGTGCCAGTCCTACTCCCATGCCTTTTTATACAGTTGTGGTAAGATTGTTATGAAATCCTTTTGTCAGTCATGTTCAAGCTAACTTACCTGTGTATAGAATTTATATATTAAAAACCCCTAATTTATACTGTGTTTTAACAGTTTGCCTGAACTGTCTATGGTTTCTAAATTTTGTAATGTGAGTGTCAAATAAGAAGAATAAAAAAAAATTGGCCCAGCTGTGTGCATTTGGTTTCCCAATTTTATTTCAGGTAGGTATTTCAACACCTCTGAATGACAGAACGGGCTGAAAAGAAAATGATTGCTCTGAAACACCAAAAAATACAAAGATACTTCTGACTCAACAGTCATGAATACGCATATAGATGTGAAAGAACCTGTGGCGTCTGCTTTTCCTTGCTGCCACTGCACTGCTTCTCTCTTCTTACTCAGACACTTGGGAGACTGTACTGCGCTTTATACTGCAAGGAAAAGAGGCAAATTCTATTGTTTCTCACTATAATGTGTTTTCCCAAAAAGGAGTCATAGGCTCAAAATACCACAGTGAGAGCTGCAGCTTGGCCTGAATGTTCTCAGTCTGTTCCTATAAAACTTTGTGGTACAGCTGGTGTTTAAATGTGTGCTTTTTATTATTGGTATTGCAGTAGTTGGAGAGCTTCTATTTGGGGACCCATTTCAGTAAGTATGTACAATAAGACACATCCATGCTTCAAGTAGCTTAAAATTGTTTTAAAGAAAGAGGCTTAGCAGTGGAGTTTCCTTGATAAAGCATTACATTGCTTCTGTGGGTTGCTTTCTGCCTGGCTGTGTAAGCAGCACCACTTACTGCAAAGCCTGCAGAAGTGAACACTTCTGTGAACAAGCCCAGTTCTCTCACAGTGGCACAGCTCTTGCCAAGAGGAACTATGGCTGAATTTCCTCTGAACTAGAGCTTATTCAGGCTTCCCAGCGTCAACCCCTGAACTTTTATCAGGTTAAAGCCTCTCAGTCCTTGGAAGACTCAATTATGCTACAAGCAGACTGAGAGAAGCTGAAGTTTAGCAGAGCCTATGAGCCTTTCAGTAAAAGGAAACAGATCAGGTCAGCTCAGCCCAGGGTGACCCCAGCACTGTGTTATAGAACTTAAAACCAGTGTACACACTGGCAAGCAAACATCTTGCCCTAGCAGCAGTCTGCCAGTCACTGAGGGCACAGCATTCTGATTGCCCTTAGCAGATTCACACGCTGTATGGATGTGCCATAGGCTGCAGAGGCAGTTCCTGTTGGCCAGCTGTCACAGCTCGAAGGAAGCGATCTCATGGCTGGGCCACAACTTCACCAGTGCAAATAAACACAAGTGCACAGATGCTAGGTTCTGGACCCCTGCTTTCCTAAGGAAAATTCTAGTGACTTATTAATGAGGGAAATGTGTCTCCAAGCCCAGATTTGAACTTGCTTTTTTTGCTGTTGCTGTTTGCCTTTTTGTGTTCTACTGTATAAACTGCAAACCTTCTAAAAGTATCCCTTTAAAAAATAAAGTGTCAAGGGATGGAAGTACCACTGTCATTGGGTTCCCACAGCTTCTTCACACTACAGCTCCCCTTATCTCTTGAATTTATACATGCCACAGCAATCTGGGACAGCCCCTCACCTGCCCATAGTTACAGTGATTTGTGAAATGAATAACGTTTTTCCCTGATACATCTTAGCAAGGTTCCTGGTGTTCTTTTTCCATCCCCATCGTTCAGCCTCTTCTAAATAGGCCGTGTTGTTATTACTCTGTCCTTGAGCTCCCAAACAAGGCACAGCTATGATAGGCTCTCCAGCACTGTAAAACTCAAACCCTGGAAGTGCAGAAATCCACAAACTACAGGCAGAACCAATAATCAACCATACTCAGGCACTGACCAGAGAGAAGAAAAAACAAAACCAATACATTTTAATCAAAAGAAGCAAGCACAGTTCTGAAAGTACTGAAATCCAGGAGATTCTGGCTGTCACTGAGCCTCCTGAGGCTCAGGGCAAAGTAATCAACCTCTGCTTTAAATTTTGTAACCGTACAATGAGGAAAGTAAATGAGATTTACATCTCCTGAATGGCATCTGCGAGGATGGATCATCTACTGCTGTAAAGTTCTTGAAAAAGGAACCAATACAAGTTTGCATTCTGAGGGCAGTGTTTTGAATGTAGCAGTTCATGCATGCACAGATGGGTCTCACTGGGGTAATAATACTGCAGAGTAATGTCTTCTGTTATACAGAACAAAGTAAAGCGTGGTTCCACTGTGAGTTACTCTCTCACGTTGTACACACATTTGGTGTTGTATAAGCTAATTAAGGATATGTCTCATATAAACAAAAGGAAATGCCACATAAATTGGCAACAGAAGGAGCTTTAAATGCACTCAAAAGAGTTTCCCTCCCATTTTCATTGTGATTTAATTCCTCTAATTTGGCTTTTCATTGTTAGATCGCTGCCATTTTAAAAACGGCCATTTCTAGAGGGGCTCTCACTCTCTATGCACTACATCACTGGTCCTGGCCAGTGAACTGATTTTATCCTACTCAGGCAATACCACCTGAATTCCAGCAGCCTGATGTCTCTCATCTGCCGGGTCTCCACTGCCACCTCCCGAACAGGAAGGAAAACGAACTGTTCTCAATACGGCTTTTCTTTGGAATGTCTACAGAGGTATCTCTGAACACACTGTCCTCTGTTCAGCACAAAGACAGCAATATTTGGAAGTCTGCTTTGTAGCATACAGCGTACAGGCTGCTCTCTGTAAAGCCTATTGTAAGGCTTTTACTTCAGAGTGAAATTTCCTTAATTTACATTATGTGTGTCTGATAAGAAGAACGTACAACATTTACATATACCACTTCTCCAAAACTATTCAAAACGAAAAGCTAATTATTCTTAACTTCTGACAGATTTATTCCTTCTTCAGTTGTCAGCCAAAAACCTCTTAAGGAAAACAGTAAATTTAACTAGCTTTCGTGTGTTGCATTTTCATACTGAGTAACAGTTATTTCTGTCCCTTTTTCAGTCTGAAGATCCTTTGTGCTAACAGATGAGAACCAAGATATCTTAGAAGGAAATTTCTCCTGCTTTGTGGTAGAGTTGTTTTTGATATTCTCTTTATCTTTTCTTTCTGTTGCTTGCAGTCTGCCTATTCCTCAGGCTGGGGCTGAGGGAAATTGGCTGTTGGGAAAGCAAAACACTGCAGACCTTACTGCTATCTTTGTTCTTATGTGCTAAAATAACAAACCACCAAAGCTATCCTTGGCATTGAGAGATTAGGTGCATGACATGACTACAAGGTAACATGGCTTTTCTAAAGACAAATGGCAATAAACAGAGCTCCATAACTCAGTTTCTATCCTTAAAAAATAAATAAATGAAGAGAAACAGGCCTTTCAATCTCGTGAAAACCAGATTTAAATGTCTTCCATTTTAGTACTGTTCGCTGATAGTTTGGGGACTGTGAAAAAGACCCCAGCACTTGTTCAACTAAAGGAGCACTCACGTTAGGCATTGCGCTCAGTGTTCCAGTTACAAAAGTTCTGTGTGTCAGAGGGAAAATGTGTTAACGCCGTACTGGGAAAGAGGTCCTGAGTTTGGGATGTTTCAGTGCACCCACTAATAGGCAGAGATCCGTAGTGCTTCCACCGAGCGAATTCATGAGTTAATGAATTGGAAGGTTGCCTATCAGATGCAGCTTCCCCGCGTTTGTACCTTCTTTCTTTGGGTGATACAAATCTCTTCTGTGCTAGAGGAGTTTGCAATCACATTTGTCCACTGTATACTGCATTAATTCAGGGTTTGCTCTCCTTGAAGTCTCTGACTGTCCTGGAAGCACAGTTCCTGAGGGCAACGCTCTGCGGGCACCCCATGGCAGCAGCACAGCAGCCCGACCCCACCTCCGCCATGCCCGCTTCTCTTGGCTGGGAATGTCCTCGTGATTCCTCTCAGGAACACCAGTGTTGCGGAGTCAGACCAATTCTGCACCACCGAGGGGAGGCTGCAGCCTGCTGACTTGGGCAGAAAGTTTGATCACCGCACGACCTGCACTCAGAGAAGGCTCTTATGGTCCCTACTTGAGCTGCTTTAAACCTTAAGAGCCAGAGTGAAGCCAGATGTAACGGTGGGAACCACCAGGCGCCAAATCGCTTTGCTGCAACGTCTGCCGGGGTACAGCAGCTCTCTGGTGGGGGGAGGGGCACCGCTGCGTGAGGTGATGCTGGGGGCTGAGAGCGGTCTTTGAACCTCAACACGAATTTGAGACTCAGCTCCTCAGGGCTGCCCTGCAATGGCAGCGGGAGCGCAACGCCGCACAGCTCCACAACTGCCCTCACCGAACCCGCCATTACTGAGGCGCTCGGGGGGCGGGGCGTCCTCCCCCTCCCACAAGGCCCCTCCCGCCGCTGTGCGTGTGACGTCAGTGCGCAGCGCTTCCGGGAGCGGGGCGGGCGGTGGAGAAGCAGCGTTCTGCCTTCGGCCGCCGCCGCCATTTTGTTGGTGCGCGCAGGGCGGACGCAGGTCTCGCTTGCCTTTTTTCTCAGCTGTAAGTAACGTTGTCGGCCCAATTCTTCAGTTCTTTTTTTTTCTTTCTTTCTTTTTTCGTTTTTTTTTTTTTCTCTCTCTCTCTCTATTGTTTCTAGGGAGGCTGGAGCGGAGGGGTTTGATGGGGGCCGCAGGGCCGGGGGAGCAGTGTGAGGAAGGGCGGTGCGGTGGGAGGCGGCCCGCGGGTCCAGCAGCGCTCCTGTGGGGCTTTGCGTACTGCGCAGCGGGGGAATCGGGGCTCGGAGCACGGAGGGAGGCGGACTTCAGCCGTGCCGGCGGAGCGGAGCTGTGACCTGATACGTGCCGGGTTGGCGGGGGGGGGGCACTGAGAAAACGCTGCGTGCGCAGGGCCGGCGGGCCGCGGCTGCACGGCCCCATGTGGAGGAACGGGGCTGAGGGCGGCCCGCGGGGCGCGTTGGGACCGCGAGCTTTGTAGGAAGGCGTTATTTCGTGTCAGCTGTCAGTGTTACGTAAGGGCTTCGGTGCATAAATTTAGAGGGAGTCCGTAAGAGCGCAAAAAAAAATAAAATCTTAAGGTGGATCCTGCTGTGAAATGGATTGGGCCTTTCGCGGGTCGATTCTCCAACAGTCTGTAGCAATTACTTGCTCGTTAGCATTTACTCGGGTCCCTTCAGGACAGAACACGCAGCTTCTGTCTTTATTAACTCGGGACTGAA